TCTTACCCAATCAGTGGTTGGTGGCTGATGGCTGATCTGTCTTTTTGCAGTTATGCAAACAGGATTTGCTTTTCTTGAAGCTGGCTCAGTAAGGTCGAAGAACACAACAAACATTCTGATCAAGAATTTCCTGGACGTGTGTAAGTATTTATTAAAGAGAGTAAACATTTACAGGAAAACTAACAGCTTCAAAATTTCAAACACATTGGCATTGCTCCTTTACAAATGCGATTTGATGCAAAATTCATCCAAGTCAGTTCTTCAATTAGATCAAAAATTGATGGTCATGATGTAACTGATTTATATCTATTTTCATCCTAAATAGTTATCATTTTAGGCTGTTATGTACAGCTGTCTTTGAGCTAGAGTTTTAATAGTCCCAATAAATTTCTGAGTGTGGCAATTCCGTGTGTAAACTATGTGTCGCGTTTTACTTTTTACAGTTATTGGTGCAGTGGCCTATTGGCTGTTTGGGTACGCATTTGCGTTTGGAGTAGAAAGCAATGGCTTCATTGGACACAAGTTTTTTGCACTAGCCGATTTACCAGCTGACAAATACTCTCATTGGTTTTTCCATTTTGTTTTCGCTGCCACGGCAGCAACAATTGTCAGTGGTGCCATGGCAGAGAGGACAGAGTTCAAGGCTTACCTGTTATACTCTGTGTTTCTCACTGGTAAGTTCCAAATCCTATTCCTTATTTTTGTCGGGTGGTACCAAGGTCTCCAGTTTTCTACAAGCCATTGATATATTTATTGTTCTCCCTCAGGCTTTGTGTACCCAATTGTCACTCACTGGGCTTGGGATGAAAATGGTTGGCTGTACAAGGGTGTGGAGTACACTAAGGACAACGTAACCATGACTGTAGCATACCAGGTGAGATTCAAATAACAGCCATCTTGATATGTCACTAAAAAGAATCTTTCCCAGGTATACTTGTACCTACCAATCAAGATAAATCAAGATCCTTAACTTCAGCTTTTTTTTGTTGTTGAATAAATCAAGGATTTTGCTGGCAGTGGGGTCGTTCATGTTCTTGGTGGTACTGTTGCCTTAGTCGGAGCAGCCATTGTTGGACCAAGGCTCGGACGATTTGTGAATGGTGTCCCTGTGCTGCTTGCAGGCCATACTGTACCGGTGAGTAAAGAACTTCTTGTGTATGCCATTTCTCGATAGGACTTTGAATTTTCAGACTATTCCATTCATAAAACCGGCCATTTAAAAATTTCAAACATGACTTTTTTTCTAGAAAGCGGCCCTTGGAGGATTTATCCTTTTTTTCGGCTTCCTGGCTTTCAATGGTGGCTCACAGGCAGCCATTGCTAGTCCAGGCGATGCAGATGCTGTAGCACTGTCCATTGTCAACACAGTTCTTGGAGGTGAGACACTGGAACTATTTAACTGGAAGCCAATTTTTTTCTGTTTCCAGTCCTCCTTGACAAAAGAATCTTATGCGGTTCTCTTCTCTCATTTAGGAGCTTCAGGTGCGCTAACTGCCATGATCATCAAACGTCTGGGATTTGCAGATAAATACTGGAGTTTGCTTTTCACCATTAATGGTGGACTTACTGGAATGGTATAACACATTAGTTAAATTACGAATATGCATAGGCTCTGAATTTCAAGAGCACCTTCCACGAGCAGCTTCAAAGAGAGACTGACTTTAATTACCATTACATTCCTTTATCCTTTTAATGTGAAATTGCTATCAAATAAATCATGGAATTATTCTCTGCAACTTCAAGCACCAATTCATTATTTTTTGAGCCATAAAGATGTTTAAAAATATGGAATTCAAGCTGGTATTCTTCCCACCAATTTGAGTAGAAAAGGTTTTTGATCAGTTTTTGAGCTTTTTGTCGGCTGCAATGCATTTGAAATGCCATCTGTTAATTCACCTTCCTTTTAGTCTAAAAGGAGTTGCATTGTGTTTCAGATCACAAAACAAATGCGTCTGTAGGACAGTACATTCGATGATATTCCAAGATGAAAACAAATAGCAATCGCCTGATTTATTGGAAGTGACCACGCTCTTATAGATGGGTGGATCATGCCCATTTTGGCTGGCTTAATGTACTAATTAGATGTTTTAACTTTATCAATTCTATTACAAATGACAACCTTGGCATTTGTTTCTTAGGTGGCCTTGTGTGCAGGTTGCAATGCCGTCCATCCTTATGCTGCTTTTATCATTGGCATAATTGCTGGAATGGCCTACGTTGGATGGAGCACTCTTATGATTCGTTTAAAGATTGATGATCCACTAGATGCTGTGGCTGGTGAGTTGCTCAAGCACTGATCCACCCCATCTACTCATGTTCTGTTTTCCAGCCAACTTCTTGCGAAAAGTCTTGTTTAGCACCCACCGTTCTCCACGCGGTACTTTTCGATCAATTACATTGGTTTTAGTGCGCTGAATCGCTGACTCAAAGTGAAAGCAATGTCGGACTACTTTTGAAAAGAAATGAACTTCTCACTGGATAATTTGGTTTTATCGAGCGTTAGCCTTTCGCTCTGACGAAGGGCTAATGCTCAAAACGTCAGCTTAGAAACTCTTGGTGGTGGCCAATTTACATTATCAACCCAGTTGATAATGACCAAAGTATCTTGTTATACTCATCCACCGACGCAACATCACAGTTTCTTTGGAAAGTTACCCCCTTTATTCATAAACTTTTCAGTGGTAACCTTGTTTGATTATTCTTCACAGTTCATCTCGGTGGTGGTTTCTGGGGCGTGCTGTCTGTTCCCATCTTCAACAAAGACAGTGGAATATTTTACGATGGAAGCGGTCATTCATTCCGTTTGTTTGGCTGGAATCTGCTGGGAGTGCTTGTCATCATGGCCTGGTCGGCAGCACTGAGTTTAATCTTGTTCGTTGTGTTGCGCGTCACAAAGCAGCTTCGTGTCAGTGCGGAAATCGAGGAGAAAGGTAATAATATGGACAAGATTCATCAATTCTTTGTCAGTTTCACGCTTACACTGTCTACATGTACGTACATGCTGACACTCCTCAAGGGTGCACCTCGTCATCGTGAGACTCGGGAACCCTTCTTTTCATTAGTAGGTTTAACTTTTTAATAACTTATTTGACGTGATGTTAGCAAAAGCATCCGTGAAGGTCTGACAGACATAGGTAATACCCCTGTTACATCTACGAGGGTGATATACTGTTACCAATAAGTTATGTGTAAGTAGTTATCTAGTTACGCCCAAGTTGATTCGTCATCATCTGGTAGTTCATAAAAATTTTGTTATATTCATTTAGAATATTTTTCATTTCCATGAAACCTTGGTTGATGTGTGTGTCTGTTGAGTGTTTTCGGTATTAGTGAACTTGTAAAAAAAATTGATAACATCTAATCAAAGCAAATCTCAATTTCGCGGCAAATTATAGTTACCTCAGTGATATTTGTCAAAAGGGCTAATGTCACTGAGTGATATTGATTCGCCGGTTTTCTTTCCGCCAAGTGATTTGAGATCAGCTACAATGCGACAAATTATGCTTAAAATTTTTGAACAACTTTCAAAAACTGTGTCTTTTTTGTTCTAGGTCTTGATATTCCCAAACACGGCGAGCCCGCGTACCCACTGGCCAGTTACGGAGACGGATGGTCGGAGTCGCCATCAGCACCGAGACAGACCTTGCCGTTTAGTCATAGTAATGGCGTCACCCCTGTCCAAAGTAACTATCCTGAGAAAGGAGGTGGAATCGATAATCCAAGTCTTGAGGTTATTGAAGCTCCAAACAAGAACGAAACCACAGAGTTTTGAATATAACAGACCAGATCGAAAGAATGCTACTTGCCCACTTCATGCCAAATATGGGAAAATAAATCTTTCGTGTGGCATACGCTAACTCACAACACTTATTATAGTTTCATATTGCTCAGTGAATGATATTAACCGCAATTGTTGGCAGCAATACTCGACACAAAAAAAACAAAATAACTTCAATTTACCTGAGAAAAATGTAGGCTTGGCCATAGGTGACCCGAAATTGCTCAGACGGTAAACATCAATAGCAACGAGGAAAGGAAAACAGCCTAGTTAAGATCTTATCTTCTACATTTATTTAGTTTTTATCGTTATATCGTACTTTGTAACCCTTGATAGTTATTAGAGCATGTGTCAATTCAAAAGTATTTTAAATTCAGGATGGGGATCAAAATAGTCGTCAAACTTGTTTTTCATGTGAGAGACTGGACTCCATCAGATTATAGCGAGTGGGGACTGAAGCCACAGTCTATCCACTAGAGTCCAATCCCCACTTACCTTCCAAGGGCCACAACATTTGTAGACACTGGTGTAGGTTATAAAAACTAATTAAGAAATCATCGCTTTTCACGCTTTTAAATGCACGGCTCACTTGTTAAGAACTGATATGTCTAGATATTATAACGTATATTGTGTTAATTAAAACATTAGCTACATCATTTCCTCACAGTCATACAGCATGTAAATGTGCACAGCCAACTACATTCATGTAGTCTGGAAGTAAAGGAATAAAAAAAAAAAATCTTTGTTATGTTAGTGGTAACCTTGTATGTGTGACTTTACTTTCAAACCTAAATGCTTTACCTAGCCTGACTTCAGCCGTGATCCTTTCTCACCACAAACACTATGAACCTATAGGCATTACTTCTACACAAAATTAATTCTAGCGTTGCGTCACAGGGCTTTATATATGTGATTGGACCAATCTACCAAGATAAACCTTACCCTTAGCAAACCCTGATGGTGAGAAGGACACTAAAAATACTGAAAGGTTTGGTCTGATTCAAATTAACTTCCTGTCAAATACTTTTTTTTTCCCAAAAAAACCCCCTTTGAAATAAGGGGGATTTTACAAGAACTTTGAAATACACAGATCAAAGTTCCCATGTCAGCCTGGCATTCCTCAGTTGTCAGGCGTTCATAAATATAAAACTCAACACAATCATTTAAATTCCATTTACAAGCGAAAGACAAATAAGAACAATTTGCAAGCCTTTTACTTAGTTCTTGAAGCATACATGGGGAAAAACTTGAACTCACACATAAACAGTCATGCCTCAGTTAAGTATAAGGCATTTTTTATTACCTGGTTAGGCATGGATTGGAGGATATCAAATGTTTTCAGGGGGAATGTGGGAGGGTCTCAGTCTTGGCGAACTGTGTATAAAGGAAAGTTTACTGCTAATTAACTGCTGATGAGAGACAGGGAGGGAACCCCAGTCACAGCAGTCACTGTTTAATGTTAGTGGCACCTTATGGAAGATAATCCTACAGGAAAGAAAAAAACCCAGGCAATGGGACCACTTCTGAAAAGAGATCCTGAGCAACTCTAGAAGAATACAACTTCATACCCCAACTGTTTTCCCCACAACTAACTGCCTTAGACTACCCTGACAAACTTATTACTGTTCACCCTTTTCCCTGGTTCACAAACTCTGCCCACCAACAACACCTAAAAAATAAGAGACAAAAAATCACAAACCCACCGTCTACTACAAGACCATAAACAATACAGACAAATGGACCAACAAAATTGTTCACAACATTTTACAGAATCACCAAACAACGTGTAAAAAAATTTACAAATATCTATTAAAACTCAATGGAACTCCACACACTACTCCTAACTAGTAAAATTCTCCACAAAAATAGTCAATTTTCAAAATCCTAACACCAGTAATGGAGTTCCATCTGAAGCAAATTTTTTACTTATTGTTGACAATTTCATATTTAAAAAATGTTTTTGTTTTTTCTCATTTTATTCTCTAAATAAAGGTTTTCTATCATGGTACCCATCTTTCAAATTCTAGTCATTTTAATGTAACAAATGCTGATTGTTCTTGGTATATCATTTTAGAAACATATCTTTTAGAATAATCGTTCAAGCCATTGGTATGAATTAAAGATTTAATGACTTTTTTTAAATAAAATCTTACACTGAATTTACAATCATGAAAGACATAGCATTATCGAAAAAAAAACAGTTACCTACGATTAACATTTTCATATAAGATGTACATCACCCACCACGTACATCCTCATTACAATTCCATGTTGTAAATACATGCCTATACTGTAACAAATAAAGGTACTTCTAAATATAGTTCTAACGCTTCCAGCCATTTTGTAAATTTGTTAGCCTTTCCGCAGCGATAACTATCTTAATCAGTTTTCGATCCTTTCTTAATTCAACTTTCCGCATAACACTTTCCACTTGTAGCAATTAAACTTTTGTACCTAACTGGTTATGAACAACGCATCTTTCGTATATCTGTGCCAAAGATATAATCTTCACGTTCGGAAGAAAGATTCATGTATTCGTCCTACCATTCTCTCATCGATAAATGATTTTTACATCACAAATAAATGCGGACTCCTCAACACAATAACTATATGCTTTTCGAAAGTAGAAAGAAAAATTAATATTAAATTCGATCATTTACCAATGAACCGACAAACCGTCTAAATCGTTCTTACCTTTTCATCCGATGATTGCTCTTTTTGGGATATCAATGCCAACCTTCCCGCAATCATTCGCTCCCAAAACACCCTTGGTTACTCTCATTACACTATGAGAGTTAAATGGACATCTCCAACAAGAAATCGAATTATCACGACAACAAAGTAGAAATCTACAACGGGACCATGCTTCTTTTCGGGCCGAAACTCTTACGTAACGAGATCACGCAATCGTGGCGTCACCAGAGTAAAAAAAAAATCGTTCTTTTTTTTCTCTGGCTACCACACGCCGAGGCTCTTTCAAGAGAAAGCTCACACAAAGGATACCACAAAAATCTGTTTCCCCAAAACGTGAGTATCTTTCAGTTCTTTAATCACTATAAATTTTAGTTTGCATAGTTTTTATTTACTTATTTTAAAACTTGTTCCCAGAGTAATAGTTGGCTCTCTTGCAATTGTACTCTATTAACATTTCGTACGAATAACAATTTTTATGCCAGAGGAAATCTTCTTTATTCCGGTACCAGTCACCGCTTTTCCGTTAAAAATTTATTTTAAGCATCTTTAATCTTTATAGTCAAGTTCTCTGAATAGTATTAAAAATGTCTATTGCTTTTCTCCTTCTTTCGGACTCATCACGAGGGTGGCGGGCAAAGGTCTGGTACCGGACTAAAAACACCCCGGCACTCTAAATCCCCACGGTATCAACGAGTGCTTTCCATTCATCTAGTTTTTTTAATCACTATATTCCCACCTATAGCGTAGTTCCATTTTCTGCATGTAAACCCACATACTACCCACTTTTCCTCTAATCGCTCTGATGAAGGGCTAACGCACGTTAGCTTTCAAACACTTTACGGTGGCCAATTTACGTTATCAACTCAGTTTATAACACTAAATTACCCTGTTAGAAACACCCTAGCTTAGTTGGGCTTCACTCCTGTAGATTCTCTATCACATGTGCCTCAGCATTGATGTTCCTCTCTACTTCACTGATAATAATCAAAGTTTTCCGTTCTCTCTTTTTCTTGACATTTACTGTCCTCTTCTCCAAGCCACCAAACACAATTATAAGTCTATTGAATCAACCCAGCTTATCATTCTTTATTATTTTGAATGTGCTGACTTTCTTAAAAAGAAAAACACACAGTTTGACAGTTTGCATAGACTATTTGCTGTACATTCCATGTAAAGACCAGGTCAGAACCAATCAGAATGCATAGAATTACCTCAGGACTAACTTGCCTTATAACATATATCTATATATTTCCCCAAATTATTCTGTCCCATCCAGTAACTTATCTCAGACACAGCAAACAATGGGATCAATAGCTAAACAGAATGGATACTAACTTCTCAACACTGAGCAACTCTGATAAAAGGAGATGAACACACAAGAAAATCAATTTCATTACCAGCAATTTGAACATTAAATCAAAAACTTTATTTTACTTGACATCCATCATTAAACCTAGCATTTTTGAATGAATAAGTCAGAAATACAAGAAATCTTTAATAAATTCCTCTCTATTGATCATCTCTTTTCAGAACAAACATTTAGAACATTGGTATTAATGCAATTTCAAAGCTAATAATTTTTTTTTCATTTTGGCACTGCCTTGTGATTAACATGGCTGCCTTGCAGTTTGTAGGTCCCTCAACATTCGTGCTCAGTTTAAGGACAAATAATTTTTCTTTTGTTTTATGTTTACACTTTCAACACTTCCCACTTTTCCCCATTTAACCCACTATTTTTTTAGGAGATTTGGGAGGTCTTAACCCTTTAACTCCCATGAGTGACCAGGACAGAATTTCTCCTTACAATATCAATACAATATCAACCACATAAGTAACAAGAATATGGAAAAATATCAATTTGGGGATAATTATTCGATCCAATACTAAATTCTCTGAACTAACATTATAAGAATTGTATGGTTGACAGTAAGGAGAATTACAAATTTGATCTGGGAGTTAAAGGGTTAAATAGGGATCCCATGCTTGATGCCTATAATACACCAAAGGTTGCAAGATGAATCTACTGCGATATAAATTTTGTTAAAAAAAATAATTAACAAAACTCTATTATATCAGTTAAAATTACTTCCGTCAGGAGAAATGGAAGTCAAAATGGCAACAATGTCAGACCTACAGATTTTGCAAGACAACCTTGACCACTTCTTTCTGATCATTACAGGCTGCCTCATTTTTTGTGAGTATAGTTTTCCATCTCTTTTCTTTAAAGTTTGAGATATCCATGCATGAAGTGATTGTTTTACATAAAAGAATATATTTTTTAGGAAGAGTTAAAACTGTTTTCTTTGCTTAAATAAGAGAGAAAAAATGGTATGCTGACTTAGGCACCTACTCTGCCTCTGGGATCACTATATTAACAGTATACAAATGAAACCTGACACTATAATGAATACATTGAACTTGAACTTAGGGGAAAAATAATTAACCCTTTAACTCCCAGATCAAATTTTGTAATTCTCCTCACTGTCAACCATGAAATTCTAATGTCGTATTTCAGAGAATTTAGTATTGGATCAACTAATTATCTCCAAATTGAAAATTTTCTATATTCTTGTCACTTAATTGGTTGACATTGTATTGGAGAAAGTTCTCACAGATTGCAAAAGTGACAAACTTGAAAAATGCAGGCAAACTTTTCCAGGATGGAAATGTAAGAACTGTCAGATAATCCAAATGGACTAAAAATGTAAGCAAATGTTTCCAGGATGGACAAATGGTGTCCAGGTGCAGTTCCCTTAAATAGATCCCCTGCATTACATATGCCTAGTCGCATTTTAAAGAAACCCTATAATCAGATTGATAAATGACAGAGAAAAACAACTGAGGACAAGAGATATATGACATCTTACCCATTCAGTGGTTGGTAGTTAATGGCTGATCTGTTTTTTTTTCAGTTATGCAAACAGGATTTGCTTTTCTTGAAGCTGGCTCAGTAAGATCAAAGAACACAACAAACATTCTGATCAAGAATTTCTTGGATGTTTGTAAGTAGTGATGATAGAAATAAGTCATTTACCAGTATCCAAAGAGGTACAAAAGTTCAAAAAAGAAAGATGGCATCTCTCTTATGCATCAGTTCCTCAATCAGATCAAAATTTGACTTTCATGATTTGTTTGTTCTTTTATTTTCATTCCAAGAAGTTAACTTTTATACTGTACAGCCATCTTTAGGTTAGATTTTCAATAGCCAAGTGAACCTCTACACATGGCAATTCCCTGAGTAAATAATGTGTCTTGTTTTATGTCTTACAGTTATTGGTGCAGTGGCCTATTGGCTGTTTGGGTATGCATTTGCATTTGGAGCAGAAAGCAATGGCTTCATTGGACACAAGTTTTTTGCACTGGCAGATTTACCAGCTGACAAATACTCTCACTGGTTTTTCCATTTTGTTTTTGCTGCCACGGCAGCAACAATTGTCAGTGGTGCCATGGCAGAGAGGACAGAGTTTAAGGCTTACCTGTTGTACTCTGTGTTTCTCACTGGTAAGTTCCAGGCCCTACTCCTTATTTCTGATAGGTGGCACTTGCATCTCTAGTTTTCAACCTTATGGTGGCAAGCTGTTGTTATATTCATCATTCTTCCTTAGGCTTTGTATACCCAGTAGTCACTCACTGGGCTTGGGATGGAAATGGTTGGCTGTACAAGGGTGTGGATTACACTAAAGACAATGTAACCTTGTCTGTTACATTCCAGGTAAGACAAGACATGGAAGTAGTAAGATAATTTAACAGTCACTTAGACACTAATAATGGCTGTCATTAAAGGTCACTGAAACCTGATCTTTTGCACATATATCTGTACATACCAGTCCACTACTGTGCTATTCTTTTCTAAATCAAGGATTTTGCTGGCAGTGGGGTTGTTCATGTTCTTGGTGGTACTGTTGCCCTAGTTGGAGCAACTGCTGTTGGACCAAGAATAGGAAGATTTGTGAATGGTGTCCCTGTTCTACTTCCAGGCCATACTGTACCAGTGAGTGAAAGACTTCTTAAGCTTGTCATTTTCAAGGGTGGATTTTGCATTTAAAGACTGGTCCAGTTACTGTGCAGGACTCTTAAAATCTCAACCATGCTTTTGCATTTTTTTTTATTCTAGCAAGCAGCTCTTGGAGGATTCATCCTGTTTTTTGGCTTCCTGGCATTCAATGGTGGCTCACAGGCAGCCATTGCTAGTGCAGGTGATGCAGATGCTGTAGCATTGTCCGTTGTCAACACAATCCTTGGAGGTGAGACAGTAACTATTTAACTATGAGCCTTATTTTCTCTCCATTTCCAGTTCACTTGTCAACACAGTTCTTGAAGGTGAAACATAATAACTCTTTACCCAGGAGCTTAATTTTATTTCTGTTTTCATCCTCTTTGCCAAAAGAATCTAATGTGGTTCTCTTTTCTCATTTAGGAGCTGCAGGTGCCCTAACTGCCATGATCATCAAACGTCTGGGCTATGCAGCAAAGTACTGGAGCTTACTTTTCACCATTAACGGCGGACTTACTGGAATGGTGCAACACATTAGTTAGATTATAAATATGTGTAGGCTTTGAATATTAAGAGCACCTTCCACATGAAGCCCCAAAGAGAGTTTGAAATCGCTATGAAATAAAATAATTCTCTGCAACTTCAAGCGCCGATTCATTATTTTTTAAGCAATAAAGATGGTTAAAAATATGGAATTCAAACCGGTACTCTTTCTACCAATTTGAGTAGAGAGGGTTTTTCATCAGTTTGTGAGCTAGTTGTTAGCTGTAATTCATGTGAAACGCCATCTGTTGTTCCATCAGCTTCTTTTTAAGTCTAAAAGGAGTTGCATTGTGTTTCAGATCGCAAAACAAGTACACCTGAAGGGCAGTACATACAATGAGTTTCTAGAAAGAAAAAAAATAGCAATCAATATCTGCCTGATTTATTGGAAGGGACCATGCTCTTATAGATGGGTGGATCATGCCCATTTTGGCTGGCTTACTGTACTGATCAGATGTTTTAACCTTATCAATTCCATTACAAATGATAACCTTTGCATTTGTTTCTTAGGTGGCCTTATGTGCAGGTTGCAATGCTATCCATCCTTATGCTGCTTTTTTCATTGGCATCATTGCTGGAATGGCCTACGTTGGATGGAGCACTCTTCTGATTCGTTTAAAGATTGATGATCCACTGGATGCTGTGGCAGGTGAGTTGCTCAAATACTGATCCACCTTATCAACTCGTGTTCCATTTTCCAGCCAACTTATTGTGAAAAGCATTGTTTGGCACTCCCTAATCTACACACCATGCTTTTCAATTGATTGCTGTAAAAACCAAATCTATGCTGTTTTGGACCAATAAAACCATATCAAGGAAACTTTAAGTAAAACGTGTAAATGGTCTGATGCAAGGGCCAGCATAAGGAAAGGGATCAAAAGGGCATTGGTTTTATTGGGCTGAAGGTTTGTTGCAAGTATTGTGGATCAATCACTTACAAAATCAATGCAATGCCAGATTACTCTTGGAAAGCAACTGAACTGTTCACCAGTAACATTGTTTGACTATTATGTACAGTTCACTTTGGTGGTGGTTTCTGGGGTGTGCTGTCTGTTCCCATCTTCAACACAGAATCTGGAATATTCTATGTTGGAAGCGAGCATTCATTCTGTTTGTTTGGATGGAACCTGCTGGGAGTGCTTGCCATCATGGCCTGGTCTGCAGCATTGAGTTTCCCCATGTTTTTCATGTTGCGCATCTCAAAGCAGCTTCGTGTCAGTGCAGAAATCGAGCAGAAAGGTAACAGTCTGGACCAGATACATCAATACATCAATTATTCCATGGAGTTTCATGCGTAAAATTTATATTTTCCTACATGCAGACACTTTCCAGGTGTAGAGACCTCATGCACCTCTTGGTTACCATACAAGTTGGCAACTTTTAAATTCATTAGTGGCTTTGCATTTCTAAAGTCTGACAGACATAGGTTATATACCTGTTAATGTAAGTCAATAACATTAATATGGTTTTTAATGGTCTGAGAGATACAGGTAATACATCTGTTACATCTACTGGGGTGATATGCTGATAACATTTATGCCATATTTAAAGGTCTGACAGATAAAGGTAATACCCCTGGTACATCTCCTGGGTGATATGATGATAATAATGCCCAAGTTGACTCATCATCATCTGCTAATATATATCAATTTTTATATACTCATTTAGAATGTTTTTCCTTTCCATGAGACCCTGGTTGAAATGTGTGTCTGTTATGCTATTTGTGGACTTTTAAGGAAGAATTGAATACATTTAATCAAACCTAAGCTTGTTTTCAAGACAGATTATAGCTACAGGTACTTCAGTAATATAGAATTGTTGGTTATCTTTCTACCTGATGATTTGAGATCAGCTACAGTGGCACAGATCATATCTATGTTTTTTTTTTTACAACATTCAATAAAACAAAACTTAAAATTTTTTGTTTGTCCTAGGTCTTGATATTCCCAAACATGGCGAGCCAGCATACCCATTGGCCAGTTATGGAGACGGTTGGTCAGAGTTGCCACATAATCCACAGTCCTAAAAGCTACACATGTTAATACTCACTTTTGCATGAAAAACTGTTTATTGCAAATTTTTGAAGATGAAAAAATGATTACACAGAGGAAAGTAATGATACTACTCAAAATGTTTAAACATGTCTGTGATGCTGCTGAATATGAAAAGTATCATGTAGGATCACCTTAATTCCAAATTCAAAATGCACTCAAAGAAATAAAGCTTACTGCTTTCACTGCCCTATTACGTTCTTTCTCAGACTGAAATGTTTAAGTCCTTCCTAAGCCCACTCCTTCCCTCTCCCACTGAACTTTAACTCTAAAGTATTGGTTGTATTATTGTCGTTCATTTGATTGTACTATATTGTGCTTAGCTTGATAGTCATTTCCTTCTCCTTCATTGCTTTGGATTAAAAAGAACAATACCCTCCTCCACTGGGGGAATGCAACACTATTTTAACGCAGTCCATTACCTCCCCTTTCCCTCCACGTTTCTTTGTTCACAATTGAGTGGTGCTTGCATATTTTCGTAATTTTTTTAATCTTACTACAAAGGAGAATATTCTCGAAGTTGTATAAGCGCATCGATAACTTGTCATTGCGCATTGGAATCGATTTCTCGCAGAAACAATGGACAAAAGGAACGAATCGATAATCTCGAAACCCTTGTTACAAAATGTTCTTGACCTACTCACGATTAGAACTTCGGATACATGTGTAACCATGTATAACTTACCATAAAATTTTTAAACATGCGGTATAAACCCGATTGCCTGTACGAGTAAAGATCCAACATACTAAATTATTGCCCGTCCTGTTTCCACGTGAGAAGGTCCTTGTTTCCAATTACACTCGAGTCTTCATTCGTACTTGGCAGCGTCAGCAAGGGTAGATACTCTGGTTGCACTGTGCATGACAACGAGGCATAATAACAACAGGTCCTTCCAGGTTTGGTGAAAGGAGGATTGCGCGCTTTTTGTTTCTCTATTCCGTTAACCGCGCTTAACCGTTAACAAATACTTGTTTTCTGGTTCTTCCATAGTTAATTCACTTAGGTCTTGAATAGCACATGCGCAAAAATCGCACTCACGCATATGCAATCGAGCCTTCAGTTGACGGCGATTTTTGACATCTTAAACTCAGGCCTCAGTCCCACTTATTCAGACTAATTTGCACACGTATTGTCTTAATTACGCTAGTCATTTCATTATGACTCAATAGGATTACAGGCGCTCTCTGACTGGTCAAACACATTTTGTATATTTCCCCAAAACCTCAAAGCTATTTACAGCAATTTTTGTCAGTTAATGGTCGCAATAACCTACCCAACACAACATATTTCCTGACGTTTCTTTCATTAACCAGATATTTTCGTCGTAAAAACTGTACTTTGTTGGAGACCAAACTTAACTGAGTTCAATTTTAAGTTACATTCTAGATAACGCTTGTTACCAAAGTTATTCAAGGACCCTCGGCCAAAGCTACAAATTACTAACAAGGAAAACCGTTTTTGGATGTTATTACTTCCCCTTTCTGATGTTTCCGGGTGAAACAAAACTTAAAAAACAAAAAAATGACCTTAGCTTTAAAGAAATTTACACAAACTAAGGCCTGCAATTCGGGCGTATTTTAGGGAGAGACTTTACTCTAACCCAGAACAAAACATGGTGGATCGTCAAACGATTGCGATCATGTTCCCCCTTCGTATTGGACACCTGCGTGGCAAGCTACTCAAAATATATTCACAAGATCCGTGAATATTTACGTCCAAGGAGAGTTTATTTCTTAAGATTCTGTAAGTATGATCTGTATCTTTTTAAACTTTTTTTTTTTCAATTTAACTCTACCAGGAAACTAGCAAACCAGCAAAGCAGGTTTTGCTGTTTATCTGCTCTACGATAAATTCTCGAATTCTCCTCCAAGGCCGGCGTCTGCCTCAAGCATGTTCATGAAAACTGACATAGTTTCTTCGCTTTGTTCCATGGGAGCTTCCATTGACTCAATTGCATTCTGCATTCCAATCAACTGTTCCAACAAGTGTGCCTGTGACAGCTGCAGCTGATTATCCAAACCAGCTCCAACCGCATGCGAGCCCGTTCTATCGGTAGACGGAACTCTTGGGGCATTTGGTGCGTTCGGTGAAATGTCGTCAATGTCTATCGTACTCACACCACCCGTATTAGATGGAAGACCCTCATTCAGTCGATTAAGACCTAGTCCGAACTGGAACTCCCTGAGATAATAGAAAGTAAAAGGCGAGTCACCTCTTTTCCAATTCATTTTTTAAATTACTGACGAGGAAATGAATAGCAGCTGAAAGAGAGAAGTACCATTCAGATCTCGGGAGTTTGAGAGTTCAGAGGGAAAGGGCCTGTTGTTAAATTAGGCGCTCGTCAAGAGTGCATAGCTCTTTTACGACAAACACTCCTGACTCCTCAATATTACTGGCTCCTAATTGAAGACAACCCTAATGTACGGGCAGAGAAATAACCTCGGCAGGACTTCCTCCCTTTTCGAAACTTCACCTTAATGCAAGCAAACTTTCATTGGAATAATTGTTTGATGGTTCGATGCTGCCACACTGTTTCGTTTGCTTGTATTATCAAAAAAATAGAGATGGTTTCAAAATCTTACTGTCACTAGAGGGGCGGGGTAGTCCTTCAAAAACAAGTTCTTTTTATGAAAAGGACAGTACCCACCTGTCTTGTGTTTCCTGGTTTTGAACCTGTTCGGCCACAATGGCCCCAATACGACTCGCACCTGCATTTCCCACATTAGCCATAGCAACGTCAAGTTCATGACTCTTCTTGCCAGCTGACATGGACCCTAAAATGGAGGAATTAACGTTTAATTTGCTTCCTCATAGCTTGGAAGACAAACTTAACGAAAACTGATTACTTTCAACAGGAGAAAACGTTTTAAATTCATTAAAAACTTCTGATTACAATAAAGGTAGAAATTATGACTATTTAGTGCCAATTCCACCGCCCAAATTTGGTCCAACACGCTTCATATGCCGACTAAGTTATCTAGCCTTGTAGGAAGGTTTCCATATCTATGCCATGATAACTCAAAACAAATAATCTGAAACAACACAGGGCGGTAATAGTTCGAGGGATGGTACGAGCTGGTCTGAGCGTATTGTAGTCAACGACTTACAGAACTTATTTTAGGATTGCAAAAAGAAGACTTGCAAACGACAAATAGGTCATGACTGCAGGCGGAGAGTGAAGTTTTGAGACATAACTACACTAACTACACTCAGCGGAGGAAAAGAGAAATCTCGTCCTTTTGAACTGACATTTTCAAGAAACCCCACTGCACAAGTAAAATAATATTCGTAGAACCTAATGAAGAAACTACATTTGATAAATGATGCAACTCAAAACGAGGAAAGAAGAATGATGAGTTCCTGTCTTTTTTTTTGTTTGTTTGTTTTTTTTAAACAAAAATATTTTCTTCCTTGAATTCACCGCTGGGCCTCGACTTGATCAACTTGACCAAGTCCCCCTAGGTCGATTTCAAAGATATTGAACATAGATTGCTGAGAGATTTTCCAGAGGATCAAATGCAAATTGAGAGCATTTTCAAACTTATTGAATGCTCAAAAAAAAAAAACTAAGTGATACACAATCGTAATCTTGACAAGAGCTAACCTGCATCTAACTGCTGCCCACGTTTCTTCAATACTTCTAACACTTGCTGTACACTCGTCTTTCCAGCCATACTGTCAGTTTGAGCTGAAGACCCAGATCCTACACTACTTGCGAGCTGCAAACTGGTGCAGGACACATCAGACGGAGGAGCTGCCAGGGGCAATGAAATTGACTCCAAACCCCTTAAGACAAAACACTAGTCATTATGGCAACCAACAATATCATGATTTGCTTGAGAGGCCTCTCCTATCCTTCATAACAGTTTCATGGCGGAAAGTGAAGTCGAAGCCCGCACAAAGTTATTTTTTTCAGAATCAGTTATCTCCGGAACTCTCGCTGATTCTGCCCCTGGGTTGTTGCAAATTCATTCAGCATCTAGGCTTGTGATACTTTCAAATAAAAGATCCCGAGGCGTGAGACACAATTGAAAATAAAATACCCCTTCTTCGTTCGTGAAAAACTTTTTTTTTCCACTAGGAGTCAAATTCTCAGGGAAAATGAGCACGTGAAAAGTAACGCTGCATACTATCTTAAAACACCCTCAACAATAGAGAAAAAAAAAGATCTAGTATGCTATACTCACGTGACCACAGTGTTGACGCAAACTAGAAACTCCAGTTCCTTTGACCAGGGATTTCGGAACACATTCGAACAAGTTCGTAATGGAAGATAGTGACCTGCCTTGCATCGAAACCTGTAAACATCAGTTGAAACAATCTCCCCCTGAAGAGCCCGACGATGGGAAATTGCTATTGAATTAAGGTCTTCTTGATGAAAATATTCATAACCAGAACTTCCTATGAGCTCCTGAGGTAGATAGCCAGTTATGGCGGTAGTTCTGCAAAAGGCAAAAGGTTCAGTCACCTTTAGGGCCAATAAAGTTATCATGACGGAAATTATCCCAGTATTCAGTGGCATGAAGTGAAGCAATGTGGAGTACTGCTGTGCCCCCTTTTACAAAAAGTTGGTCCAGTACAGTATTTCCCTCTACATTTTATTAGCTTTTCCTTACACCTATTTAAACCTCTTGAGTAGAAAGAAGCACTGTAAAAGTAGTGTCTTGGCCAAGAATACAACACTTTGACCCCAAGGTTCAAAGTCTGCAGCACTAACCACTTAGTCACCACATAACTAGTGTCAATGTTCTTTCACTAAAATCCTTTGTAAAAGGAGCTAGTATACATAAATTGAAAATCTTCCCAAATAAGCGAGCAGAATTAACCTGCTCTTGTCTTCTGATGCTCAATACACTACCAGATTTGTTCCTGAAATCAAATCAGAGTCAAAATTGACAGAACACCTTTACTTTAATTGTACCTTTACATTCTACACCAGTCTACTACAAAGAAATTCCACCAGTATACCACATATGTATAGGAATAATTTCCCAGTCAAGGAGAAGGGAGAGGAGGCTAGATGTTTCCAACTCACCTCTGATCAACAAAGATAAATTTTCCATCTATACTGTGACGTGAGATGAATTTTTTGGCAATTCCTGGTTGTGAGAAATCTGTTGCTTCATCATAAATTGTTTCCAGTCTTCCCACTGCTACAAGACAACTGAGATTTCTAGATTCGTTGTCTTCATCGTCCTCATCAAGTGAAGCTCCAGAGGGCGGCCATGATTTAAGGTATCCTGTACAATGAACTAATTCACAAAACAAAATAAGGGTTGGAATAATTAGTAAGAAATTTCAGCATTTCATTTGTTAGTTAATAGACAAAGGAAGAAAGAGAACTAAGTAGCATCATACAATAAAATGTGTATTGACTGAGTTAGGTCAGGCCAGTCATGCCTTACAGACCAAGTGTATCAAGTAAGATATTTACCTGTACAGCCCTCCTACTCGGTCAATAAAGCCATTGTACCATATAGTTTAACTGTGTTAAGAGGTGGGCTCTTAGCTACACATAGCCACTGCATACAATTCATATGTGTCACACCCACCTACGACATATGGCTTTTTGTCAGGTTGTGCTGCCTGCTTGCTTTTGCTTTTACGTTTCATCAGACATGGTTCAGGTTCCAAACTATCTTTTCCCTTTTTCCCTTTAGATCCACATTTCATACGGCAAAAGAATGATCTCCTAGCACCAGAACACAGTCGTGTTGGAGTGGGTTGATTTTCTGTTTTAAGTGGAAGACCAGTTTTTGCATCAATCAGTCTTTCACGAGGCGTTGTGTCTGAAGACGACAGTTGTTCTTTGACTTTGTTGACATCCTTTTGGTGCACGAGATCAAGGAAACTATGTCCTACCAGATCAGACTGTTCAGGGAGAAAAAAAAACCAAACAGCTACAATAATTTTAACTTTACAATTGCCCCTCCTCTATTGATTGTATGGATAACCAAATTCTTTTTCTAACCTTACATTATGTTTACTTGAAAAAAGGTAATTTTGAGTAGGGCTTCAGAAAGTATGGCAGCTAAAATACTTTTATTCCATTTAACTTAGGTTTCATTCATTCTTTCTCAAGAAAAGAGAAAAATTGAGTCCCTTGCAATTAAAATTCCATCTTGGTTCTTGTTAATACTGGAACTCTTGAGAAGGTTATGAGATTTGGTTATGTTCACTTTTACTTGGAATGAACTTACAGGAGCCTGATTGAGATAGTTCTGAATGGAATCTGATGCATAAAGAAGACATCCCCTGTCACATCCCACAACAAAAAGGAATCCATCGGCAGCTTCAAGAATAAGGTTCTTTAAATCTTCATCAGACAAGAAAGCTGGTTTGTAGTTTGTTTCTGTGAAGGGGTCAAGTGCTCCTGAAATGTAAAATTTCCAACACAACATAACAATATTGTATTCATCATGGTTAACTTGGTGATTCAAATACTGGTAGGTGTCTGAACTGCCACAAAGTTGACATGTGTTGCTGGTTGCTCTTTGGTTCCTTGTGAATGTTACACTTAATGAACTCCACTTTTGCCTTTTCCTTTTCCTTGGCCTTGCCTGATTGCTGATTGCCACAAACAAATCTCCCCCCCTCCCTTTTGTCTTCTCAATTTGGAACAAGTTAATTACAGTCTCCTCAAGTAAGCCTTGGCTTATAAACAGATGTCATTCTAAGTGGCACCTAGACTTGTGGTAGGATTAAAATCATAATCACAGTTCCTAATAACTAAATCTAAAGATAAAGCCCTACATAATGCATTTTTGTTTAAGAGTACCTCTAACTCTATTGGAATTAAACAAGTTTTTCACAGATGCAAAGGAGAAACATGGTGCATGTGGAAATCACTTCATGAAAGGAGCAACACATAAAGTGATCATCACCTTTCAAGGTCTTCATATGCTGCACAGCCATTCTCAACACTGTCAGTTTATCCAGCTTGCGTGACATGGCATTACACATAGGTATCATTGTTGACAATTCATTAATGTATGTGTTCATCTTATCTCTCCGCCTTTTCTCTATCTCACTGTGATTTGGCCTGTTTGTATATCAAAGAAGACAGTTACTTGATCAAACAGTCTGCGAGACACTATAAAGGTGGTAGGTTTCATTCAATAAATTAAGAACATACAGCCTTTCTAATGACATATCAGGAAAGGAAACATTGAATGATTCCAAACCCCAGTGGCAAAAATTGACCAAGCATTTATTTCCAAAAGATGAAACATTTGGTGAATAATTCTAAGAAAATTCAATCACAACTTACTTTGTGTTTGTCTTTGGCCATCCTTTCCTCTGATCGTCACCATCCCTACACACAAACAATTGACTTCTTGTTATCAAAGCAAATATCATTACAATTTAAAGGAATTATGGTTTCCTCTAGGATTGTGTGAGCAGGAACAAATGGGTCATGTGATAAAATTACTTTTATGAACTACATGGATACCTTCCATCTCCATCAATTGTTTCTGCATCACTTTCATCACTGCAATGATAAGACAAACTCAGGTTAGGAAAGGAAGTCTTCAGTGTAAAAAGTGTTCAGAATAAATATGAAAGCTGCATGGCAATCTGGATTACTTTCATCATTTGCTACCATTTAACCCCTCTTTTAAGCCACATTCTACTCCAAGAACATGAAGTGGTTACAACAAATTGACATGGCTGACAAAATGCTTCTGGGAGATGTTCATGCCTCAGAATAAATTATTGAGTAACATTATGTAATATTTAAGATACATACATTTTAACAGTTTCTGATACTCTCAGTTACACCTAACAACTTGAAATTATGTGTGATTTTCTTTTTCCTGTTTAGATTGCCTTTTTGGCAAACTTTAGGTGCAAATAATGGGATATCTAAGACAGTTGTAGTTCAAATGCTTGTATATCCAGGATTGAAAACAAGTTTTGTTTGGTTCATTCTTCAATAACTTCACATTCAGTTGTATTTTTATACACCTTCACATTAATTCAACTATGTGCAATCATGTGAAATTCTATCAATGACAACACTCTGGAACACAAATTACAAACAAAAACAAATCTCACAAACAGTCAATCATTGACTTTCCTCTTTAAATGCAGAGGAATTTTCAGTTAAATGCTTAAATAAATGAGGAGTTTATTGATTTTGCGTTGTCACTGGTCTTTTGTATTTTTTTTCTTCCAGCAGAGTGCCTATTTTCAGTTTGATTTTCATGGGTCTCTGGGTATTTTCTTTTAGTTAGAATACCTGGTGTGATTAGTTCCATCTTTCAAGTTTTCAACATTCGGAGACTTGAGCATTATGTGAAGCTTAGCTTAAGGCAATCAGGAGTTATTAATAATCCCTGGTCAACTAGCAAAAGGTAACTGCCATCTTCAATACCGTTTGGCACATACATAAATAGCATACATCAATCGATCTGCACCGGTTTCACTAATTCATTAGCAACCGAATGAACTGTTTAAGGCGACAAGATGCAAGAATAATTTTTACATTCACCTGTACATCCGCACAACAAAACGAACAAACTACATAACGATAACGACTGGGATTATTAGGCTAGGTCTTGCAAAATAAGTTGGCCTCAAAAATCAAACCATAAACCCACGTATTAAATTTACCTTTGCATTTTAGCTTAATCAAATTTAATGTGACAATTTTCGCGCCGTTCAGACAGCACAATATAAAGCTAATAAAAAATTGGTTCTCAGAGACAACCAACCGCATAATTTTTGCAATAAAATTAAACTAAGAAATACATCTGGCCTGTTTACTAAGTAACACTCAATCCATATCGAGTTCAAAGATGACAAAGCTGCACATATTTCAACCGTCAACTTACTCCATGAGATCAGAAACCGCTCTTCTTTTCTTCTTCTTCCCTGGATCCATATTGATTCATGTAAAGTACACTTCTTACTGAGAAAGAGAAGGATATATTCCCGTTGTTATTGATCCTAAGACGGAGATATCTCACCGGATGTCTACCAACACGAGCGATGTACGTGAATATTTGTCATCCACACTCTTTGCCATACTAGTTCCAGTCCCTTGCAGAATTTTTTTTTAAAGTGAATATTTTAAATATGTGATGTAATCTTACCAAAGAAGTCTAGTTTGTCACATCTTGATGAATGTTATTTTTGGAAAAGCATTTCGTTAACTTCTTCAAGCAAATAGCTGTGATAGCCCCTCAGAAATTTTTACCCCTCCAGGATTTTACTTTATCAAGATGGACTTCAGTCTGCTAGTGTTTCTCCAAGTTTCCTCTGCAGGCTATTTGACGCGGGTCCGACCACCGCCCTGGGAAAACAGGACCCAAACGATTCCTTCCTGGGTAGATATAACGAAGGAGCACTTGGTTCATTTATTTAAGTTTTCTTTTTCAAGTTGATGTCAAAATTCTGAGCCTTTATCATATATTGCCATACAGCCAAACCTCCTTAACACACACTACGCGGGGACAGAACAAAGTGACCGCAGAGAAGTTTTCGATTCACATAGGTCAACAGGATGTGGTCCTTTGAAGACACCACTATCAGTTTTTAAGTGAAAGGTAGCAACAAACAAGCACATGTACATCTTGATTTGACACACTGCCTTATGAGAGAAGGAAATAATAACGTTGCTTGTAGGCTAAAAGAGTAATGTAATACTTTGAACGGCCGATTAAAATCTAAAGTTAGATTTCTAAGAAAAGTTCCATACTTTGGTCGTGTAAACCTTTTAAATGTCTGTAAACTTCCTCTATAAAGCTTTTGCAAGTCGTTGTCTGAGAGAAAGAAATGACATTAAGTTTTTAATGCATGGGCAATGGGGCATTTACACCTTTGACTTACCAGTGATTAGATACGAGATATTAGCTTAATTTTATTTTGTATATAACAGCTCTAGCTTCCGTATTTTCTTTTGCACGGCGGCTGATACTAATAATGCTGTTGAACGAGGTCGAATCTGTCGATACATGGTCGGTTATCTTCGAAAGTCTATCGAAGGGATTCGCATCAGCCTCAAATCACGGGATAGTCACACTTTCTGTCCACTCTCGGCTATTTCCGGAATGTGTTCGGTTAAAGAAGGTTATGCGTCATGATTAAGACAATTATGTCACATTCGCTTGATTAAATACAAAGTGAAGTTGTCGGTCAGAGCTTCTTTTTGACGCTAAGGTTTTAAACTGTCACGATGTCGGGAAGTGAATCAAGGCATTACGGTGAGTGGTCTCTGTCGAGCTGGTACGATTTATTACCAGGTCCTGACCGTCTTCTCGAAGTCTCCACTTCATTAAACGAAAGTGATGCTTGGAGTTTAGTTTACGGTTGGACAGAAAAGCTGCTAAGCGGTGGAATGGGCCAAGAAAAACTACAAGGAATAACTGACGCACTGTTATACAATCACTGGAATCAGGCGAAGCGAATGGGCTGCATGGGTGTTCAATTCACCTACATAAATGGCTTTTATCACAGATTTATCTGGAGGAGTTCGTGACAACAGTTGTACAACTAATCCGGCCGGATTAACAGAGATCATTCCACTGGAAAATTCTAGACAATATTCGAAGTACAGAGTCTGTATATACGCCTTCGGACAAACTTCAACCGTTCGTCTAGTTTCGTTCTGCATTCCGGGTGGATTCTTCATCTTTAGAACTAAACACTTGACATAAAAAAATAGTTGGCTCTTCTATCATTGTGAAAAGTATGTTTCATTCGACATAACTTGAAAGATAAAACTGTTGCAAACTGAACAGTGTGTGTGACGTTCTCCATTTAAACCAATTTAAATAATACTACTCGGGGTTTTAAAATACCACCGCGCCTAAAAAAATCAATTAAAGACATCGAAGGAAATTAAACCCAGACTTCAATTTGCATCTACGCGAGTAAGAATATTCTATATTGAAAAACTTTGAAAAACGTGCGATTTATGTATTAGGAAGCCATCACGTAGGCAGTATTGTATTTTCAGACAAACTCATCGATACAAATAGATGAAACGCTACCGATGAGCGGCACCGATAACAATAAGAAAAACATTTATTTTCATCTTTGAATAACATACGGTAAAGTTCTATCGCCGGCTGTTTGCTACAGCGGTCGACCTCAGCTGTATCTTGGCGTCACAAATGACTGAAGACTAATATTAATACCAACGTAGATCAATTTTTAAAATAGCATCTTAACTTTCTCTATTCCCGACTTTGTAATTTAATTTCAAAATGGTACAAAGGAGAGGAAAGAAAAATCCCTTCCCATGCCTGTCTTTTTGTTAGTCCTAAACAAATCTCTTTTCTAATATATTTCACTAACGGCGCACCTAAATAAGTAGGAAAGTGCTAAACGTTTCATTGTTTACTGCAGGGTGACATATATTTAGGGAAAGAGAAAAAATAGTAAATTTGACCTCAGTGGACAACTGACAACATAGGACAGGAGGCTGATTGTTTCTGTTTTGTGCAGATCTGCTGGGTTTTTGCGGTTTCTGGAGGTGTAAGCAGAGCAAGACAGGAAAAAACATCAGCAGGTGGTAATGTTACAAACATGTTCCAAACTATTTGGATAGACATCAAATATTGTTTCCGTGGTAATCTCGATATCGCACTAAACGTGGCTGAGAAGAATCTGAGAGATAAACATATAACAACAGTTCGTTTTGTAAATTCATTTTTTACATTTCGACTAGAAACTCAGAAGGCTGCTGAACATTTTGTTCATGTTGGTAAAATCAATATGAATGAGAATTTTTTCTTCATTAAAAACGTTTTGGCTGATGTCACGCTAGAAATGTCGTTATTATACAAATAAAATGGTATTGTTGATTAAACAAGGGAAAATAACACAGTGAAAGGGAAAATTGGATAAGAAAGTGCTTACTACTACATCGTAGATGTTCTGTAATTCAAAGAACAATGAAATGTTTTTATGTCAAAGAGGCCTTTCGTTTCTGTAAAAATGGAAGTCTTGAAAACACGGCCCTCACTGTTTAATGATCGTTGCCCGGAGAGGCCGCAATAACCGAGTCAGCGAACTTCTAAAAAAGTATCAAACAAGAAAAAGGGAAGGTAAGTATAATATTTACCCAAGCCTCAGTCGATAACGGATCCCTACCTGATCTAGGTTATCAAAAAAATTTTTAAATGTGAAAGATATTTTCCAATTAGTGACACAGCCAGTAATTCAAATTAAAAGTGAAAATAAAACTTTTTTTCAAAACGATGAAACGCAGACGTAAAAAACAAAAAGCAGTGACAAATCTGTGGCCCTTTGTCACTAAAGAACTTATACTAATACCACAACTACGCAATTACACATATGCTTTTGGACCATTAATTAAATGCTCTATTTAACATGTAAAATGTCTATCCTTAAAATTTGTGATAATTTACACTATTTTTTCATTAACTACATACTTACAAAAAACTATTAATTGTTTTAGCTTTCTAATGGAACTGAGCAGAAATTACAAAATACACAAATAAATTGCTGGTAGATACTTTACATTCGACTCGATCTCTTCAGTTGAGAGTTCAACTTGTGCCAGCGGCCGGCGCATAGTGTCTTCTTGATGCAATTATAATAATTTTCTTATTTTTACACTGTAAGATGATCATCTAGACGAAAGATAAGTTGGACGAAAGAGCAATTTTGTACATAAATAAGCGTTTAAAAAATAACTGCCAATACGAAGTTAACCGTCTAGACTACTGTATGCTCCAGAAACCACGTGACTTTTGTCTCTGCCTTTAAAGTGATTACATATGGTTCTGGTTGCCTTTTTAGATACAAAAGAGTATACTATCCTTTCAAAAAATTCCTTAAATGAGCTAAAGTTTCAACCTCGAAAGCTGCCATTTTGAATAGCGCTGAGCAGCCTGGATGCTTTCTCATTTAAAAGATCATTATTGGTGCTTGGCAAGATACTTGTAAATGCTTGCCCTTAAATAATTGCAGGCTCATTTTTTTTTTTTCAGTTGCAATTTTGCGAAAATCAACTGAAATTTAAAGCTGCGTAAGCATTCAATGTATTTTCTCCGTTGGTAATATTTTAAAGGCTGTATCCATGTTCCCGTAAGTGTGTTCGTCGGTGGCCTCTACACTTGGTTTACGACCGGGATTTTCTAGGGAGGTATCCTTGTCTGGCAGGTCGAGAGGAATCTGGGAATGATTTACTTTGGGCTGTTCGTTCTGGTATATGGCTTGTCCTGGTTGACCATGCTGCATAGCAGGCTCTTTATATGTACCATTCTTGGTAGGAATGACGTTAACGAAAGTAGTAATGGAGGTTTGATAAAATGGGAAGGGAATCTTTCTTTCTTCTGACGGTATTTCCCAGCCGTTCCCGTAACTTTCCACTGGGTAGGCAGGCTCACCGTGTTTAGGAATGTCAAGTCCTATCACAAATCAAGTATCAGTCTATTAGTTATAGAATCGCTTGAAATTGTTCTTATGGATGTCACGATGAGGGTAAGATGCACGCCATCCCAAAGAACAACTGCGATGGAGACTCTGTCAATTCCATGACAGTTCTATCGGAAACTGATGTTGCTTTAGCAAAAGTAGATTGCAGGCCCAAACCACCATCTTTGCCTTTTTAACATTTATAGAATTAGACAAATTAATCAGACCTAAAAAATGCAAGAGGTATGTAAACTTCCTTTCAGAACTTTTCTTTTCAGATGTTTCTAGTCTAAGTAGATCCTCAGAGAGGATGGAGCATGTAGCGGTTGAGACTGAGGTGCCAGAGTATTGATCTGTGTGAGAATGCGTACACGCTAGAAGTAAACAGACCGTGTGAGATCTTTGAACAGGAGAAGTGCCAGGGTTCAAAGGTCACTGGACATTTACTATGTTACCTACCTTTTATCTCGACTTCTTTGCTTACACGAAGCTGTCCGAGAAGTTTCAAAAGAAAGAAAAATGAGAAAGCCAGAACTGCGCACCAGGCCATGATGACAACTAAACCCAGCACGTTCCAGCCAAACAAACGGAATGAATGGTTGTCCCTGGCATAAAAGATGCCAGTTTTCATGTTAAAGATGGGGGCTGCTAGCACACCCCAAATACCACCGCCAAGATGAACTGTAGAGAATAAAGAAAGCGACTAATAAGTTTTTTCTCCTTAAATCAAGGAAAGGAGTCTCACGCTGTGATTTGTTTGGAAACTCAGGCATCTCTTTTAACCACTCCAGGTCAAAACTAAAGCCAGTTGCGATCAATCGGATTTCATTTGGCCGTTGTTAGTACTTCGGTTGGGGTTTTACAACACTGAATCGAAGAACACTCTCAAAACTGGAACTAACCAACCCTGTTTCGTAAGTCTTGCTTGAGTAAACTTTTCACGAAGCATCACATTCGTAATCCGTCGAAACATTCAAGCAACACTTAAGGTGTACGTCACCGATAATTCCCGTAACAACTTACACCTTGAGTCTGAAGCATCACATTCGTAATCGGTCGAAACATTCAAGCAACACTTAAGGTGTACGTCACCGATAATTCCCGTAACAACTTACACCTTGAGTCTGAAGTTGTTTAAGGGGGATCTCTTCTGTCTTTTGCATGGCTTGATCCCCTCATAGTTTGATGTTGTTCAATTTCTCTTACTTACCAGCCACAGCATCCAAGGGATCGTCAATCTGAAAACGCAGCATAGCAATACTCCAAGCAACGTAAGTTATTCCTCCGATAATGCCAATGACAAAAGCAGCATAAGGATGAAAGGTATTACAGCCTGAACACTGGGAAACCTGTTTTGAAAAACCAAAGTTAGAACTAAGTGCATAAGAGGTCTGTATTTACCACAGATTTTATGAATAGTAGAAGTTTTCAGGGAAATGCAGTGGACTAATATTCAGCTCGTTGGACTCCGGCTTCTAGCTCTGCCCAGGGTTAAAAGGGTAATTGGGTATTACCGAACTGGGATCAATTGTGAGAGGGGGGCGGGGGAGGGGGGTTGAGAAATGACACTAACCAGAACTGGAATCCGATACACATGATTGCAGCAGTGTGACTGATGATCGTGTTCGCCGATTTTCAAGCCCAAAACATGACTCATCAGATCGAAAGTACTTTTCTTACCATTCCAGTAAATCCACCGTTCATGGTGAATAACAGACTCCAGTGTTTTTCTGCAAAGCCCAGACGTTTGATGATCAAGGAAGTCAGTGCACCTGCAGCTCCTAAAAATTGAAGGATGACCTGATCGATTTATTTAATTCATATCACAAATCACAGAAGAATTGGTAAAGAAAACGCATTTTAAATGTGATGCTATTGACATTTACCTCCAATGACAGTGTTGACAATTACCAGTGACACATCATTGGCAGCGCCCTCACCAGCAATGGCTGCATTAGAGCCGCCATTGAATGCCAGGAAACCAAAGAACAGGATGAATCCTCCCAAAGCTGCTTTCTACAAGTGTAACAAAAAATGATTTTTTAAATCTTTCAGCTCCCTGCAAAATGAAGGCGCCAGCATCTATCTGCATTTTCTAGGCCAGGTAATGGCAAATAATATCAGGTTGAATACTTACAGGAACAGTATGGCCTTTCAGTGGCATAGGGACACCATTGACAAATCTTCCGATTCTTGGTCCAACAATGGCTGCCCCGACCAAGGCAACTAAGCCACTAACAGTGTGAACAGCTCCACTTCCAGCAAAGTCCTACCATAAAAAGTATTACAAAACTATCAATATTTTCAATGAGATGTACAGAACGAGTCGCAGATATGTACAAATATAGGTATATTGACTTTGTATCTCAAGTATCTCAAAGTTAACCCTTTTCATCTGGAACACTGGCTTACAAGGTGCAGTAAAACTTTGAGCCACTCAGCGGAGTCCTTGACCTTGAAAAAAGAGTCTAAATAGACGTTCGCGAAGATTGCCGACACTTGTTTAACATGGCATCATTATCAAATAATATATTCCCCTCAGAAACGTAAATCATTTTACAGTAAAGTAAACTAGTACGGAAATTTGGTGATCCACGAACAGCATCATATTACCAGGTATATAACATTCATATTACATGGTATATAACAGTCATGTTACGTGGTATGTGACAGACATATTACCTGGTATGTAACAGTCATATTACCTAGTATATAACATTAATAATACCTGGTATATAACATTCATATTACCTGGTATATAACAGTCATGTTACGTGGTGTATAACAGTCATATTACCTGGAATGTAACAGTTCTTGTAACATTGTCTTTCGTGTACTCCGCACCAATGAACAGCCAACCATTTACATCCCAAGCCCAGTGACTTACTACTGGATACAAAAAACCTGCAAGAGAGCGAGCACTTCATTGTTGTAAATTCAATACAAGTGAACTGATGAGGGAATTAGTATTTACATAAAGACAATTAAACCACAAGAGTTAAAATACACGTAGTCAATATATTAGGAATTATTAATCAGTAAGAACTGACTTTTTCGAATGATTGCCTTTGATCTGAGGATAACTTACCTGTCAAAAACACAGAGTACATCAGATAAGCCTTAAACTCAGTTCTCTCTGCTAAAGAACCGCTGACAATCGTTGCTGTCGAAGCCGCAAAAACGTAATGAAAAAACCAATGGGAGAATTTTTCAGCTGGTAAATCTGCCAGCGCGAAATAGCTGTATCCAATGAAGCCATTGCCTTTTTCTCCAAACCCAAAGGCGTAGCCAAACAACCAGTAAGCCACTGCACCAATAACTGTAACAATCGAAACGAGACAGAAAATTAATAGCAGGCATAACTTGACTAACGCCAAAGGCCGGGATAATTCTTTAATCAGTGATAGCAATTGTTGCTACGCAATCCGTTACTTTAGTGTAAGGGACTGGAAACTGAATTGGTAGAAGGATTAATCAGCACGTGATTAACCATTTGTACTTACACGCGTCCAAGAAATTCTTGAGCAGGATGTTTGTTGTGTTCTTCGATCTTACTGCACCGACTTCAAGAAAAGCAAATCCTGCCTGCATAACTGCAAGAAAAAATGCCACAGAATCCAAAGATAGTTTTTTAACGAAGGACGCCGAAATATTCTCTCTCCCTTGTTTCGTTCCAAAAGCTACTCAATAGAAAAACATAAGGAATTACTAAACTAAACTATCTTAATGGTGCATTTTTTGGGCCGTTTCAGGAATTTGTGATCGTCTCGGCTGGGTTGTTAAAAGCGAGATTTGTTGTAATCCGGTGTCAATCCTAGTATCCGTAAAATTTTTGTATGTAGCTAACCTCTCAGTGATATGGAGGCTAAGGGCTTACTTTCAAAACATCAGCTTTAGAAACTCTTTACGGTGGCCAATTTACATTATTAACTCAGTCAATAAAAACAAACTTATGTCACAGTTATATCTAATATTGTTTCGAAATCACGGCCTTAACTTGACTGAAAAAACGAGGAGCGAGGAGGCGGGATTACCCAGAGAGGATAGTAACATCACGTTTTTATTTGTTCATAATTTGTCTGCGTGCAGCCCAGCCTGAAAAAAAAAACCCAAGAAGACAGGTCTTGAACGGCGATGATAGCGATAAATAGACAGCATTTGTTCGTTATGTTGGAAAAAAAGGTGTGCAATAGTGGTCGCCCCCTATCTACTCCGTGACGACATGGGCAAAATAAGGTGAGATTGCACTGCTGAGATATTCATGACTCGTCACGTTTTGCCTTTGCTATGCCCGTGCTATTCACCCGTCAAACAATATCTACTTGAGTTTGTAGAAGGCAATGCGTCAAAGATCAAGTAAAACAATATAAAAAGTGCTTAGTTGTAGCTGGTAACATCGTCGTTTAGATTATAATTAGAACTTCTACCAATATTCTGTCTGAATTGTTTCACATATATAATTATTTTGCGTTTTTTTTTCTTAATTCACTTGAATCCGACAGTGCTTCAGCAACGGTTTCAGTCCTTTGTAATAGCACTTCGTTTGCCGCTATGTTACACAGAAATGATGTTGCGACAATTTGGTTGAGGCCAGCTCGTTAAAGAAAGTACAGTCACCAATTTGTCTCAAACCGTTATATGATGAGCCTAACCGTAAACATAGAGAAAACATTCGAGATATTCATGGGATGCAGTTTAATGACACTGACATTGTTCGATAGGAAATCAGTTAGGGTTGAGATGCGAGGCGGTGGTTTCCAAATATTTATAAAAATTTCAGTTCGAGTTTGATGATATGAAAACTACCAGATATCAATATTAGGTAGACAAAAGTTGTTTTTAATGGTTGAACTGCTAGTAAAATATTTGATTGGTACGAATTATAAACAAAAATTGGTGTTTAAAACGTTTTTAATTTATATGCCAGCTCATTTAGCTCTAACAATGAGAGTAGACAACAAGGCAGTATTAAGTGCGCAGTTGACATGCAAAATGTTCTGCCTGCTTAGGGTTATACCTCTGTTCGTTATGTTGCACAGAGAATAATTCACCTACATCTCACTTCAGCTGCTTTCTTCTCACAAAATGGCACATAAGATCTGGTTTGGAGCGCACTATTGACATTCGTCTTGAGGTTATTGAGCAAAGATCGTTATTATCATAAAGAAGAATGTAAAAAACCAGTCTAAAAGAGAGCTCCCTAATTATTTAAGGTCATTGAGCACATAATGAATATCTCATGATAGGCCAACTGATCGATAAAAACTCTTGAAAAAACATTCCAACTTTGAAACTGTATCAAAAATGTCGATGATTTCCGCAATGGGGTTCCTCAGTTATGAACAAATAAACGCAAATCAAAGTAAATAAGTTTTCTCTACTAACGTGAGAGGAATCAAAACAACCGTAAGAGCACGTGACGAAGTCACGGCACAGAGTATTGATTGAGAAGGATTAATGCAGTCAAAACTTGCCGGTATGACTGTTAAATTAGAGCATTTGAATAAATATGATAATTACGATTGGAAGACCGCGAAATTATCCGGACCCTTGCAACTTGGCTTTGATTTAGCGCTTATTCCTCCATTCTCATATCCTAACTACATTGAAACCCTTTCTCACTAATATCAAAATTGTTGGTGATTTTTAAAACTGCCTTTTCTCAGAAAAGAACATTCCTATAGAGAGTCGCAACTCTACATGTGGAGACGAACTAAAAAATCTCAGAGCCACTCAAACATAACTATTAACCTATAACATATAGATTTAGCCAAGCCTAAAAGCGGAGCTCGCATTTTTTTTTTTACGGTACGTATGCAAATAAGCACACGACCTTAAAAAAAAGTCAAGTTATACTCACGAAAGACAAGAATTCCCATGACAATCAGAAACAGTTGGTCAATGTTTCCGCGCAGTGTTTTCAACATAACATCAAGCTCTTGGGCAGTTAAGTTGGACATTTTGATGTCAATTTTCACCTTGACTAGTTATACCTCACTATACCTAACGAAATACCCGCCAAAAACCGATGAGCCAGGAAGCTTGCTTTATTACGTAATTCAGTTACGGAGACGAGAAAGAGAGAAGGAAAGTCTGAAATTCTCACTGCCTTTTATACACTTCATGGCTAAGGGAGTCGCAAATTGTTTTTCTTTGTCAGTCCACGTGATTTAAGGATGTTCTTCTTCTTGTGATTGGTCTTTCCCTCGCTAGACTTTGACTCTTGAGGTCCTTGGGAACAAAAAAACCAAAGTCCGAAGAATTAGTCCGACGGAATGACGCATTAGTTGCCATAGATAAATTTTAGACTCAAACTCCTGGTCCTGGATAGCAAAAACAAAAATAACGAATATTGCGACTGACGGAGTCCTGTTTGTACGGAACTCTTCATACATTAAACGCGAGAAAAATCCCCGATAAACTTCAAGTTATAGTTTAACACGGTAAAAAGCAGTGAGTTTGGATTTGCACATTTAGTTTTGCATTAGCGATGCATCCAAAGATCAATTTGTTAAATCATGTGCTGATCAGTCTGTTGTGAACTGATTAACAACGACACGAACACGACAAAAACTCAACCGCAAGTCACGCGGAACGAGGCTTTGCTGACCGGCTTACGAACTTTGAAACTTGTCTTATGTTGGCAAAATTGTGAAACTTCAAAGTTTATAGTGAAAGCAGACTGCTCAAATAGTCTGTCTTGTTTAGCAAAGTTTGTCAACAATTCATTTACGGAATGTGTGTTGCATAATATGCAATTTGAACAGACCGGCGGAATGCAAGCTATTTTTCTCTGCTAATTATCTAGTGAAACATGACCCGGAGCTAGAGCAGTTTCGTTTGGGAAGCAAGAAACTAAAAATGTTTAAAATTTGAATTTTTCAAACATATATGGATGTGACTCCTTGTGAACATTGTTCACGAAAACATCCGTTCACGTAAATTCCATGTCTCTCACGAGGAGGAGGCTGCCGACGCATTTTCGTAAACAAATTGTAACGAATTGTTAATCAGATACTAATGACTATCCTTAGACATCAGGTTGGATTATTTGACCGACGGAAAGCCCCAAAAGAAACTTTCATGTGTCTTAGAAAGCTTTACAATATCACTATGAAAATAATAATTCATGTTTTCAATGAAGTAAATACAATTTGTCAAGTTTTATCTTTTTTATCTTGAGCAGTTCAAAGGGCCCTGCCATATAGAAAGTTAACATCCTGAAAAGTGCACAACTTTCGCTTTACTAAACCCTAAACCTGGCTGGTTTTAAAGGGGAGAGTGATAAGTATTGAAGGAAAATAATCGACTCAAAATTTCTCCTTATCCGGTAGGAGGTGGAATACTATTAGGGGACGCGTAGGAGCACGTACAAAATTAGCATGAGAATTAACGGCAAGTTGAGAACAGAAAAATAGTTTGATTAACACTAACAAGCAGTAAAGAATTAAGGAAGGTTGGTTGACTTTATTTCGGCCATGGAGTCATACACTTAGGGAGGACCCGAATAACATTTTTGTAAGAGCTTGTTTATTTGATATACAAGTACAAAAAAAATCTTCCCTCAGCTTGATCTTGTGTGACCCTTGCTATACCGAGATTTCGGTGAAATCTTACCTTTTATCTTGTTTGACTAAGGGAAGGCTATTACTTTGTTTTCGCTTGGACCATACTAGGTCGTTTAGAGCGTCAAAACGAAAACCACAAAATAACATCTGCATCCACATCTTAATCATAAACTCACTTACAAGAATCTCTCCATTTCTTCACCCCTGACACCTTGAAATTTTTCTGTTTTCCCTGACCTCCTCTATAACTACGACAATCTCTTTAAAACAACCTTAATATAACTTCTATTGCATTCCACCCCTCGCGCACATCACACGATCCAACTCTAACAAATTCACACCAAAATTTGACAAAGCATGCAAAATTGAGTCATTAGAATATTACCATCGGCCCAAACTTTCACATTGTAAAACCTTGATACTTTTCGAGACCAAATTCTTTTAACTACTAAAATATCGCTCATTATCCTTTTTATGAGGTAGAAATCTTAATCTAATTGATATATTACTTTCTTATTGTATGTCCATGTACAATAATCAATTTTAAATATGTATATTAACATAATTTCAAGAAAAGCATTAAAAAGTATAGAAACGAGAGCGTTTTTTATACTGTCTACATACACGGGAACAAGAAAAAAGTCACACATTAACAAATTCTGTAAATCTTGTAAAAAATTTTGATCTTGACAATTATTATAACTTCCTTAGAGTATTCATATAACTTACTTTTCTATACGTAAATTGGTGCTAGAAGTATATCATTCTTACACATCTATATGTCAGATAATGGTGGTCTTTAAATGAGACCTAACTCTTTCTTGCGATGATGATAAGCTTCGAATCGTGCCAAGCCATAATCCTTAGAGACAAAAAAACAAACAAAAGTATTTAAATCTCAATCACTGAGGTACGTATCGTTACAGAAGATTTATTCTTTGTCTGACGCTGGTCAAGCGAGATCAATTTGCAGAACCCGTTATAACTGAATGGCTTTTCTCGCTTTGTTTAGATTAACAGATTTACCATTGTTTTTTCCTTTTTTTACCAAACCCAACCAGGAGCTCACCCAAAAGCTAAAAATAAAATTAAAAAAAAACAAGGAAATATGAATTAAATTGGATCTTAGCGAAGTGAGCAATAAAGGTTTTGTTCCCAAGTAAAATGTTAACGTACCAAATAATTAAATTGGATTCCGTTACCGGCAGAGTTCAATCGCTCTTGTACAACTCCCCACAGACCCCACATGAAGTGTGAAGCCAGGGCAAATCTGCAACGAACCAGATTTTAATCGTCTCATAGAGTTCTTGTCCACATAAAATGTTTCATGTTCCTAACAAGTTACATAACGTTATCGCACACGAGAAGAACATGGATTTCCAGGAGTTGTTTCCATTACCTGTTCACTTGATCTAACAATTCTGATTCCTCTATTGTACACTCAGCTGAAGTGTAATTATTTTCCTTTGTATCTTTTCCAAGGTACGCTCTGATGAAGATCAACTGTCAGAATTATGAAAATAAAGGAAAACGGCTCTTGATCACTGAGAAGCACTAGACTAATGCATACTGAAGGCCACCTCAATCTTAATTGCTTCTGCAAAAATTAGTGGTCACATTATCTTGGTATAGCAAATTTTGCTACACCAAGCATACCGAGAAGACTCGCAGTAAACATTCAAACCGTCTCATACAAGGTCGGAAATAACATAGTCGTGAGAAAAGCAATAGTGCTTCATAATCACTGTACTTCACTTTGATAAACAACCACAAGCTTTTCACCACATTTACAAACATAAAGGATATTCACGTGCGGGTTGGAAATGAGGCAAAGCTAAAATATCATGACTGATAAGATATACACGTGAGACAAATAATCAGCAGTGTTCTCTTTGGCTCAAGTTCACTGCTGTATTTGTGAAGTCGCCCTTGCAAATTTTGAGGAATTCATGTCACACTGCACCTGCCTTGATGGGAAGGGGGGAGGGGAGGAGGATGGGGGTTTTTGTGAAATCCTGGAAACAGCTGTAGCCACTTTTGTCTAAATGGTGAAAGAGGCATTTACGCTTAGACTTTGCCTGTGAATTAAAGGTATCTCTTTAAAGTGAAATCAGTTTCCATACTCTGCTTGAATTAAATCGTTCTGCTGGCCCCTGGGTGATTTTAAGAAAAGACAAAGAGACAGGAACAAGGGGCCTCAGTAACCGTAGTCACACCTCAGTCTCCAAATTCCTCTCAGAAAACAAGAAAAGTCACTGAGAACCAACAGAACCTAGCAAAGTTGGTATGAGCACCAAATAAAGGTTTGCAGCCAATTCACCTGTTGTTCTTTACTGGGCCAACTTTTAAGAGACATGGAAAAGTATTGCGGAGGAGGAACAGAGTAGTCAAACATCCACTCACAAAAATGGTTTGCTAAGTCAAAAGCCCTGAAATAAAAACAGAAAGATAACCAGCTGATACTCAAAGTGTTAAATTTGTACAATCTTCTTTATTTTGCAGAATCTGCTTGTAAATAAGTAATGAGAATCTCACAAATCATCATCTTGGGACAAAAACTCCATTCTCAGGACTGTAAAAAATGTCGTATGGTCTGGCTTTGTTCATGAGAAATACTTTTGAAATCTTTGATTGAAAGGAATAATACCAATCTCAGAAAACTAATTGACTTTGAGGTTAAGAGGTTATAAACATTTAACACCTGATGGCATTATCTATGGGGTGGGTGGGGTGGATTTGGGGATAATTGATATATAAAGGCTGCAGCTCATACACTGAAGGATGATTCAGCTTTTCAGGAAAGGTTGTTGAGTCATGTTGGTCTAAGGTACAAATAGAATTCCTAGAAGTTTGTTATGAGAGGTGGAACATCATATCAATTAAATGTTACTGTTGAGCACTTAAAATGACTTCTAGAATAGCCTTCCCAAAGGGCTTGTATATTGCATATGGAGATATTTACCTGTAATTGTAGGCACTAAATTCAAAGTCTATCAGCTTTAAGTCAAAATCTTCTTCATTATTTTCTTGCAGTTCTTTGGAGACTCTCAAAATATTGCCTAAATAAATAAGCAGACTCCAGTCATACACTATGGAATATATATGAACTGAAAATACAAAACAAAATACAATATGAACTATGGGAGGTGAAAAAGAAAAAAGACATGAAGATGAGGAGAAGAAAAGAGGATGAAAAAATAGAAATGTTTTCAGTTTTGTAAGCCTACAAACTGGCTGTGGTTTTGGATGAGGAATGAATCAATGAGACAAGTTTGTCTAAGGTGGGGTAGAACTGAGTGAGGAGAGGGGGCAGGGTGAGGGATTCACAAGCTCTACCAACTCTATGCTTATGGACTGCTTCCCTTTCACATTCACCTTTTATTTTGTTTTTCCTGTTGTAGGTTATTACCAAATATATTTACCTTGTTGGAGATCATTATGGCAAAATGTAACTGGTCCTGGTGAAGTTGCCATTTCTAAATAGTTTCTGGAAGATATCACAACAACTATCAAAATGAAATTGGAATAATAAATTTACAACAGTCTATTGTCCTTTTAAAATAACTTTTCAATGCTTCACTCATCCAGAGCTTTAGCAGATGTGGTAATCAGAGTGCATGTGCTAAGTATCTTAGTTATTTTATTAACAGTTGTACTGTAAAAAATTGAAGGGATGGTGGTAAAAAAGCCCTAAG